GACTTTGGTTACTTAAAATTTCTTGAAGGTTCCGATATTTGGCCATTCTGTCGTTCTTGGCTTCATATTCTCCAGACACTTGGTTGACAATGAGCTAGGAGTCGTTATAAACCATTAACTCTGACGCTTTTTAGGTCAGCGAGCAATGCCTTATATTTAGCATTGTTGTTTGATGCTGGGAACGTAAGTGTAATCGAATGTTCTATGGTCAAACCATCCAGCGAGGTCAAAACTATGCCCAGTCCGACACCATGCCTGTTTGAAGCACCATTGACGAAAAGTTTTCACATATCTCCAACAAACAACTTCTAGCATTCCGAGAGTTCTTGTGATTGTTGAAGAACCGAGCATTCTCTATCTTTATTCTTTGGTTCGGCTGTGTCATTGCTTGGCAGCTCAGCTATTTCTGCTTCGAGCGCGCCATTGATAGTTGCAAGTTGCATGACCTCATCCCCCCTCAGCGATGCGTTGCTGGGTCCAATAGGTTATTCTGTTATTTCCAATCTCAACGACATATTTCTAGGTTCTGATTGTTCTTCAGTCGGTGGGTTGAAAGTTTGGCGCGTAACTTCCGTAACGCATTCTTCGCTTTATGCAGCAGGTAGGTTGGTATCAACTGGAATGAGTATAGGCCTTATAATTTCCGCAATGCTATTTTTGCTTAGCCCGGTTAACGCGGTAGGATATGTTAAAGGGATAGTAGGATTTGCAATTTCCATGGAGCCCACTTCCCTTTGTCTAGTTGTGTTTGTAAGATCCATCGAGCAAACTAGATGAGTCCCTAGTGAGAACTCTGCGACAAAGTTGGCCAGCACTTGGGCTTTGATGGGATTCTAGGTTAAACTTGATATCAAACTGCCCTAATTCGACTGCCCACTTCAAGTTCCGACTAGAGAAGTCTGCTCTCTCAAATAAGGCCTTCAATAGGAACCCGGTCAACATTATGATCGTGTAAGCGTGAAAATAGTGTGCCAACTTTCTAGAAGCCCTCATTAGCACTAATATTAAGTATCTCGATTTTACTAGAAGTAACGTTTTGCTTACGTAGAAGATCGGGAGGTGTTGTATGTTTTCCGCTCTAACGAGCACCACGCTAACGACGTGTTGGGAGATGGCCAGATAGAGGAAAAGTTCTTCACTTGATATTGGCGTCATGAGAAGTGAGGCGGATGACAAATATGTATTCAAGTCTACGAATGCTCGGTAGCATTCCTCATCCTACGAGAACTTTGATTTCAAAGCCTAGAAGAAGGGGTGGCAACAATGTAATGACCAGGTTATAAATCTATTAAGCGTGGCTGCTATCCTAGCAAGATATTGCACGTCCTTTGCTGAATTTGGCCGTTTGAACTCTTGTATGGTCTTGATAGGGGTGGGCAACGGTTTATCCGAACTGCTCAAACCGCCCAATCCGCCCAACCCGCATATAATTGGGCGGTTTCGCAAACATAATGCGGGCGGATGCGGTTTGAAATATGACAAATTTGCGGGTTGCGGGCGGGTCGCGGTTTAAATCCGCAAACCGCAAAAACCGCCCGCACTTTAATTATTATTATTATTTTTTTTTTATATACCAACTTTGTAACTTTTACAGGAGAACCATTATATTCTCTATGACACTAGGATCCTTATTTTTAAGTATTTCTCAACTTTCTTAATGCCGTAGAATTATCAAGTCCTAAACTTGGTTTCTTATATGATTTTCATTGGTGATTCATCCACTTTTTCCTAATAAAATTTTTCTTCTAATGGTCGATAGAACTTATAGTTTGATTATTGATTACTGAACTGGCAATTCTAATTGAGTACAACCTTTAATGCATTGATATACATTTTTTTCATAGCAAAAATGCTAGTGTAGGGTCTCTTTGTTTTGGGTACTTTAATTTAATGCATTGATATTCAATTTTTATTTGTAAACTCATCAAAAAATTGTTATCACAAATATATAAAAAGAATCTGATGCCTAAATTCGCTGGAAAAAAAAAACTCGAAAATTAATTTTTAAAGAAAAAAGTGTAAACCGCAAACCGCCTGCAACCGCCCGCACATTTGCAAACCCTATCCGCACAAACCGCAAACCGCACTGCGAGTGGTTGCGGGTTGACTTTTTCCCAAACCGCATAGATGCGGGCGGGTCAAAACCGAACCGCAAACCGCACAAAATCGATCCGCGAACACCCCTAGGTCTTGATTTAGGAGGGATCTGTCTCTATTCCCCGGTTTGTCACTAAGAAACCCAAAAACTTTCCTGATCCGACGTCGAAGGCGCATTTAGACGCATTGAGGTGCAACTTATGCCGCTTAAGAACCACAGACATCTCCTCTAGGTCATTCAGGTGATTGGTCTTATTCTTGCTTTTGACTACCATGTCGTCAATGTATGCCTCCATAGTCCGGCCAAGTAGAGGGGCAAACATCTTGCTAATCATTCTTTAGAAGGTGGCCCCAACATTCTTCAATCTAAAGGGCATGCCTTTATAGCAGAACAACCCCCTTAAAGTTATGAAAGAAGTAATTTCCTGGTCAGGCTTGTACATGGCGATCTAGTGATAGCCGTGGTAGGCGTCCAGGAAACTGAGTCTATTATGCCCGACTGGTTGGTCAATTCGGGGCAATAAGAAGCTATCCTTAGGACAAGCTTTGTTAGCCATCTTGTAGTTAATGCAGACCCGCCACTTTCTATTCTTCTTGGCCACAACTACCTTGTTTGATATCCACTGAGGATAGTGTACCTCTTGATTGCCCCTGCCTCCAACAAATTCTTGATTTCGTCTGCCACCACCTCAACGTGATGAAGTGCTGATCGTCGCGTTATTCGTATGACTGACCGGGTATCTGGAAAGACATTAAGTTAATGGCAAATGAAGTTTGGATTAACGCCAGGCATGTCACCAAGAAGTTCACAATCTCCAATCGCTCTTGAGCAGACAAAGATAATCCCAGCAGAAAAAACTTGGTCGGATCGTTTTCATTAATTCTTCATTCTACCAAATCTTCAACAGCCTTATCTTCAACCTTTTTGCCGACACTATCTAGGACACTCTGACCTTCAAGTCCTTCGATCATTTGCATGAAGCCTTTGGCTACTCAGCTTTCGTTTATGGCCACGAAATATTGTTTAGCCATGACTTGATCACCACATACTTCCTCTATCATCCTAGTACTAGAAATGAACCTCATTACTTGGTGGTAAGCTGACGTCACTGCTTGCATTGCATGAAGCCATCCTCTGCCTAAGATTAGGTTGTAAGTCGATGGTACTTTTAACACCCAAAACTCCACTTGTTTGACAATGGAACATGTTTTAACCGGTAGGATAATCTTCCCGACCAGCCATTCTAGTTGTGAGTTGAAGCCAACTAGCAGCGAGGTTACTGGAGCTAAGTCTTTGTCCTCCAGCTTTAGTTTCTTGAAAGCATCATAATACATTATTTCGATCGAACTACCTTAGTCGATCAAAATGCATTTGATGTGAAGTCTTTGATGTACAGCGTAACAACTAGCGTGTTGTTGTGTGGGGTTTGGATTCACTCCAAATCTTTACTAAAGAAAGTGATGACATATGTGACTTCGGCCTTGCCCCTTTTCATGATAGGCTAGACAGACAAAATGTCCCTCATGTGTTCAGCCTTCTTAATCATCACCTTAAGCTCACATACCCATGCTAATTTGATGATCCCATGGATCACATTGATCACACATTAGGAAGGGGCGTCTAAGGCTAAGTTGTTAAGTTCAACTTGGCCATGAGGCACGGCCTCAACACCTCTGTCAATAGCTGCCACCAATTCTTCTAGGTGTTGATTCAAGGACACGTAATCTTCTATACAGTGTCCTGCTCGTCATGGTAAGTGCAGTGAGTCTCTGAGTTTGTGCCTTATTGGAATACCGCACTTGTATTGGGTTATTACTAGGTTCGTCGGGCAATTAAGAATTTCGTTGAATGTTTCTCAATATTTGGCATTGTACACCTTAATGAGTCACCTGATTCCATCTTGATTCTCAAAAGATGGTCAACCTCCTTGTACGTTTTGGTGTTTGTCTTGAATCGGGTGACAAACACCTTCGCCAACTACTGCTACCTTTCGATGCTCTCCTCTAGCAGCCTCTCGAACCACTTTAGGCCCAATTTGCCTAAACTTGATAGGAAAATGAGGCACATTAATGCATCATGTGTATGTACAAGTCGGTTTTTCCATCACAGAGCGTGAATTTTGGCTGGTGAAAATCGGTGAGGAGTGGTGCATTTTCTATCTTGATGGGAAAATGAGGTACATTAATGCATCGTTACGTTTGTGGCCAACCATCACGTGTCGAAAGTGGCTCATGTGCGTGTACGAGTTAGTTTTTCCATCATAAAGCGTGAATTTTGCCTAGTGAAAATCAGTGGGGAGTGGTGCATTTTCTATTTCAAGGGAAAAATTGGTGGCACTCAGTCTCGCCAAATCTCTATCTTGTGGTATGTGCATAGTTAGATACAGGGACGGCATCATGACCTCCTCATTGGCATGACCATCATGGGCCAGCCGCTGCAATGTCGGTACCCTTTATGCCTCCCTCCGGCTCGCTTACTCCTCTAATATGTCCCTTAAATCTCTCAACTGATCGGAATAGGAGTATCTTGACGTTGTTGATGGATGTGAGAGCCTGTAGCTACTATTTCGAGAGCAGGACACCTCCGCCGACGCAACGGAGTCATCAGCTCTGAACCTTCTAGTGATGAAAGTGAGGGCATCAACCTCCTACTGTGATTACCTAAATAGTGGAACTGGGCGTGCTCACTGTGGTTTCCCACGCCAACAACACCCTTTCCCTTCAGCTAGTGCTTCATAGCCTCTATTTTTGTCGTCATCCTTCTAATAATGGGGTCTTGGTCTCTCGACTTGCTCTCTAAATACTGAGTGTGTGATTCTCACCGTTAGTGGTGTCCTTTTAGGCTCAAAGAGCGTCCAGAACTCCTTGCACATTTGTCTCACGTTTCTCTAGAGGGTCCTTGCATGGACGTCTCCAAACCAGTCATCGTTGGAATGATGGGCAATTCGTCTTGCCTCCAGACTGACTCTGGCTTAATGCCATTGATAACAGACTTTGAAACGTCGTCGTTCGCCATGGAAAGTGATCAGATGAGCTTGGAGGTCAAGGTTTTATCTGTTCGACTTTTCCATAAATGGCACGAATTGTACGGGAGCAAATATTCTTTGCTTCCATACTCCTTTCGTGCACGCTTTATGTTATTCCGAGCAGTTTCGTATAACCTGAGAGCACACCGACAATGGCCTACCTGGCTGGTGTGTTGCCTAAAAACTTGCTCCGACAATCAAGTTAGCACCCTTAGAGAGTAAAAGACAAAAGAGAAGATAGCTTAGTGTAAGGAAGATCGCAGACAGGTTGCATGGAGGCGCTGTAGAGTTCATTTAGTTTATGTGCGCATTACCCTATTCATCCTCTCCTGGACACGTGGATGTAGTAACCTCTCCTTGTCTTATACATGAATGTGTGACAATATTACCAAACAATATCTACAAAATAGCCAAACAGTATTGCCACACATGAACGGTGGGTTTCCCTCCTCTGCTTTATAATTAAGACACGTGGTAGCTCTTACCGAGCTATCATCAACCTATTGTGTGCTTGTTCATTCTAAGAGCAGTTTCTACCAATCGGCCTAGCCGCAAGATGCCTAAATAATGAACTACAACCCGACCAGGCTAGTTAAACTCACCCTAGTTCTCTATCGTGGCCCACCTCTTCTTACCCTATCACAGCTCGGTGAGACTAGCTCAATCCGCCAGAAAAACACTACGGTCGAGATAGTGGAGCTCGATTAACTCTATTCAGCGAATTTAGTCCATTTCGATCTAGCCCAACTAACAGTAAAGCGATGGGCCGAGCTTAGCCCATCATGTTAACAACTCGACCCTTTTACACAGTCAAAACTCCTCTTTCATATACATATATAGAGGTATAATAAACCTGATTATACCCATGTGATTATATACATGCGAGGCAAGTAACACCTACAACTCCTGCGGCAGGAAATAGTAATTCAGAAGATGAAGTCATAAACGAAATGGTTCAACTACGTGATAAAATTATGACAGCAATGTGGAACAACCATAGGGTTCATCCATAGTACCACGTTAAACTTGTCCTTTGTATTAGGGTGTTGCATCATCTTTTGTCTTGAAACTTATGTACGACCTATGACATATACTGTTACGTAATGTTTATTACGATTATGTGTTACAGTAGAACATATGGATATGTGACGTTTGCTACCCATTATGAAATGATAACTTGTATTATATTGTGTTATGTCGTACATATGATGCTATACATGGAAAATTAGTGCAGGATACTATTGATGGAGCGACAACCAAACACACTTTGTTGTTGTGGCGCTAGACCAATGCGAGTGTTGATGGCCCGCATTGTGGCTAACAATGGTAGGTACTTTTACCGTTGTTCTAATGGCCTAAACCATAGGCGGTCATTCGTTTGGGTGGACACTTACAAACCCAATGTGCAGCGAAGTACAAATTCTCCTCAAGTACTAAGAAACTGGCTCCTTTATGCATGTTGTGGGTGTAACATTCTGCTCTCATTGCTTGTCATTTTTTTGTTACTCGTGCTACTCAATTTCAAATTCCTAAATGCCTAAATATTGACAACAAACAACGTTGATGTTCACTATTAATGAATGCATTTTTAATATATCTAATCACCCTTCTTAACGTTTGCATTATGAATATTGTATGGAAGATAGCATTGTGCTACTAAGTTGTGTACACGTAATTATAAATTTCGGTTATATATGTTTGGTTTATGAGTTTGTTTTCATGGTACATATGATTTTTCTTTTTTACAAATTACTTGATTACGAACTTGCTGTCAAATTGATTGTAACAAGTTTTTTTTTTTTTTGTGTGTCATGTTTGTTTTGCAAACGTGCTAATGAGTGAAAGTTATTTCAAAATATTTCGTACAAAATATGTTCTCCTAATTTTAATAATCCTACAAAAAAAAAAAATTTGTACACATATTTCTTTTACATGCTCATGTAATTTTCATAATTGTTTAAAACATATTTTTGATTTTCTATGGTTAGTAGTTTTCATAATATAAAATAATCGTTTGATCCGTGCTCATGTAACGTTTTTAATCTTGTAAGGAAATTTTTTTGTTTATTTATTAATTACGTATTAGACACACTTCATCTTCATAAATGTAAATTTTTAACATGTAGTATTATAATCGTTAAAAAATTATATATATATATATATATATTACAACAAAATATGAAGTGTAACGTCCTAAGTCTTTACATGTCATCAATATTGTCCGCTTTGGGCCATGCCCGCACGGATTTGTTCTTTCCAGTGGGTCACCCATCCCAGAATTACTCTAGCCTAAGCACGTTTAACTGTGGAGTTCTGCTAGGGATTTCACCACCCGGGAAAACGCCTTGATGCTATATAAGGGTTTAGGTTTTTACTTTTATAGTTCAAGAACTCCTCCTCCATTCCCGATGTGGGACACCGAGGCCTTATTATCCACTGCCCTTAGGGCGGCATGTTCCCGTGCAACCAGCTCGCAAGCCCGCCCATATACACCAAGAGATGCTAGGGGCTCACACTCGGTACTCCGAAAAGTCAGCTCTGATACCATTTGTAACACCCCAACCCTTCACATGTCATCGATATTGTCCGCTTTGGGCCATGCCCACACAAATTTGTTTTTTCCAGTGGGTCACCCATCCCAGAACTACTCCAGCCTAAACACGCTTAATTAGGGAGTTCTGCTAGGGATTTCACCATCCGAAAAAAGGCCTTAATGCTATATAAAGGTCTAGATTTATTTTTACTTTTATAGCCCAGAAACTTCTCTTCCATTCCTGGTGTGGGACACCAAGACCTTACATGAAGCTTCATCAATTTTTTGTATTAACAAATCTTCGCTGTGTTTAGTGTATTAATAAGCCTAAAAAATTATGATAACATTTTTAAACATACATTTATAATTTTAAATGTAAAGCAAAATTTATATTAACTTCAACAATTTAAGAAAACAGATTGCAAATACAAAGTTGTGAACTTCAAGAAACTTAAAAATTACGTTGTAAGCATTTAAAAATTACATATATAAATTCTTTTAAATGTTATTCAAAAATTTTATTTTGTCACAAAATTTTGAAACTTTAGCAAATAGGTGCGTAACATCATCACAAATTGGCGGTAACAAAATGTACACAAATTTTTAGTTGAAGTTGGAAAAGTTTGTAAGTTGGTTACAATTTTTAATGTCAATTTGTGACGAAATTACGTATTTTGTAATTAATTTTACAAAATTTTATAATAAATTCACATATTTCATGGTAGGATATGCACCTATAAATGGGTATTTACCAAATTATATTTTGATATATATATATATATAGCTTGTACATAATACATAAAAACAAACACAGTACAACTTTTTATGTGACATTTTTTTTTTTTTAAATTGTTCAGTATATCCAGCGCTCTCTCTTATATAGCTTCCCATTTTCTAAAATCAGTTTTCAGAAAATTCTACTTTCTTATTTTTTATATTTTTTTGTTTTTACTAAAATTTTTTAATATTTTATGCAATTTTTTTACTTTTTAGGCACACCTAACATAAATACACCAAAAAAGTAAAAAAATTGTAAAATTTTTTTTTTAAAAATTCACTAAATACCAAAAATATAAAAAAAAATACAAGAATTCAGTACATTTTTTATATTTTTATGTATTTCTTAATTTTTTAAAATATTTTTTCACAATTTTTTTACTTTTTAGATACATCTAAATAAGGTACATCTAAAAAAGTTTAAAAAAAATGTTTAAAATTTTAAAAATATTCACTAAAAACAAAAAAATACGAAAATCAAAAAATTAAATTTTTAAAAAATTTAATTCAAAAAACTCAAACCAAACAATAATATATTTTTTTAAAGCCAAACGTATATTCATTTTCAAAATATAATTTTCAAACCACTTTTAAAAAAATAACTCAAAAAAACCAAATCAAACATGGTCAATGGGTTCATCATTTTAAAATGTTGTTTCACTATAAAAATTATATTTATGACACGTACGTGGCTCAAAGTAAACCTTTTCTTTTGGTGACAAATATCTTGGTCTACTTAATTTTTAAGATACATATTGAGATGGTTTTTGATAAAGTTGTAAAATTGAAAATTGAAAATTAAAAATTATTAAAAATTAAATGTTGAATTTGTTAAGTTAAAAAATGGGTGTATATGTAATTTGCCCATAAAAAATAACTCAAAAAAAACCAAATCAAACATGGTCAATGGGTTCATCATTTTAAAATGTTGTTTCATTATAAAAATTATATTTATGACACGCACGTGGCTCAAAGTAAACCTTTTCTTTTGGTGACAAATATCTTGGTCTACTTAATTTTTAAGATACATATTGAGATGGTTTTTGATAAAGTTGTAAAATTGAAAATTGAAAATTAAAAATTATTAAAAATTAAATGTTGAATTTGTTAAGTTAAAAAATTATATAATAAAAATTTAAGTGTTGAATTAAAAATAAATTGTTGATATGTATAAAATCAAATTTAAAGTTTATTATTTTCAAATTATATATTTTAATTTTGGATAAATTATAATTTAATCTCCTGTGGTTTGCCTCAAAAACACGAAACTCCCCTATAGTTTCATTTATAACACTTAAACCCCTATACTTTATACCAGAGTGCAAAATCTAACGGAACTGTTTATTTAAACAGTGCGTGTGTTGCACGACCAGAACTGATGAGTGGAGCACGTTTTCCACTCAAAAAACATATGGCAAATGACGAAAATACCCTTCTTGTCATATATATACACAAATCAAGACCCAAATAAGATAGAACCCTAAACTAAAATGTTCCTAGATTGTCCGAAAGTTGCCTAGATTTTCCGAAAGTTGAAGATTATTGTTGGATAGCTTCTTCATTTGCTTCCGAAAGTGGACAGTCAAGGATAAATGCTCCAAGACTATGTTATTGTGGAGAGAGATCCCCTGTGAAGACTTCAATGACATCTGGAAATATGGGTAGAAGGTTTTATGGTTGCGCAAGATATGGGGTAAGCAAAACTTAATTATTATTTTTTTTTTTTTTTTGGAAAAAAGATTGAATTTTTTTTGAAAATGAATTTGTGAACTCATATTTTTTTATTATAGGTTGATGTAACTTGTGGCTACTTTGAATGGGTTGATCCACCCATGTGCCAACGTGGGAAGGAGGTGTTGCCAAGGATGGTTGCAAAGATGAACAGATTGGAGAAGGAACTAGCAGGAAGTCGTAGAAGGGAGAAAATGTTTTGCAAAGCTCTGTTTGGGACATGGGTTTTTTTCTTTATCATGACAATGTTCTGGGTGAAGTTTGCTGGAGTAAAGAAAAACAGGTTGTTGTTGAGCCATAGAGTTTGAGAGATGAAAAATATAGTCAATGTAGAAAATGAATGTGTACAATGGTCTATGAAGCAATTGTAATGAAAAATGAAGGTGTAAAATAAAAGAATGTTTTGGTCAAGAATTGTATGCATCTGATGAACCAAAGAAACTGTAATGAAATAATGTTTTGTTCATTACATCTTCCAAGAATATTAAAGAATAGAAACATATTGGTTCTCATTCTTCTCCTGTAAAACATTTGGTGCCTTCAATGGATCTCTATACTTATTACATGTGCAGATACTATTAAGTATAGTTATAGACTTCTTACTTCTCCAATGATTCACACAAAACAAATGTCAAAGAAAAGACAAGCGGATAAAAAATAAGTGTATTATAAGCTACACAAGTTCATCTATTTAAAAAATAAGGAACAAAAGTTCATCTACTTAACTGTATTGCCCACATATAATATGATACTATACAATGAGTGATCTTTCAATACTTAGTACCTATTGTAGGCTCCATATCATGTTATGCATAGTGTTTATATCAATTATGTGAAGTATAAAACAATCAAGATATGAACCTAAAGGCAATCCATATCGTTCATACATAAACATGCTTCTTAGGTAAAAAATATAGAATCACATTAATGGAAGCTTTTAGAGTAACCAGTTGTTAAAAGGGTATTAAAATAAGAAGGTCATTTGCTTCAGTTCACATTACTTTAATACAAGCCACAATTCAACCCACTGGGCTTCTCAAAACATAGTAAACTCAGATACTAGCCAATTTCAAATTCAAAAACAAATTGGTACAAGCCACTTAATGGTTTAACAAGTTGAAAACTACTCAAAACACAACAAAAGTTGAGTTGTAGCTTTCTCTGCCATCATACTTTCCCTTTACCTTTGTCAGTTTGCCTCTGAGTTATAACTTTTGCAGACCCACCTCCTCCTCTACCTCTTCTAATGAAGCTACCTCCCAATGCAAATCTGGACATAACCCTGCCACCTCTAACTGGTTCACCCCTTCCTCTACCATAACTAGTGGGCTGCAAAATAACACACACAAGTATCTAATTACATTTTGTCAAATACTATAAAAGAAAATGAACTTGCAAGTAAAATTTGATTATACCTGAGATGAGGAGTAATCAAATTCTAGAGAACTGTATTGAACTCTACTGGGCTGCAATGATAATGGTCCAAGTAAGCAATTATATGTTGTTAACTATGTCAAAAATCAAATGACACCCATAGAAGAGAGAGCTTACCAGAGATGTTGATGTCTTGCCTATCATACTTGGAAATTCTTGAGATGTGTGGCCAATTCTAGAGGGCTGCAATGATGTAACAAGTATGCAAATTAACAATAGAACTGGGATGCAATGATGTAACAAGTATGCAAAGTGGACAGATCTTACTTGAGATGAGGATGTGTTGGCCCTCCTACTAGGGAGCTTCCTTCTGGGCTGCAATGATTTATATTTGTATTATGTCATTGTTGTGGAATATATTGCAAAATGAAATGAAATTGGAGGTTCAGGTTACTCGATATGCTGTTGTTGTTGCTGTAGTTGTTGTTGTTGTTGGTGTTGATAAAGCTGTTGCTGTTGTTGTTGTTGTTGCAGTTTCTGTTGCTGTTGCTGTTGAAGATGGTTGTTGCTGGTTACTTCTTGTTGGCTTAAAAAGCTTGGACTTGGGATGGACAAGACCCTTACAAGACCTCTGGTTGTGACCTTTCTGAAGGCATCTAGCACAAACAATGAACATATGCTGCCTTGAAACTCTGACAGGGTTTATTGGCTCATCTATACCCTTCTTTCTCATTTTTGGTGGTCTTCTAGGCTGTTTTCTGTGCAATAGAGAAGCCACTGTTGGCAGTCCTGTTTCAACCTAATTATGCTGGCCTGGAACAGGGTGCATCATTGAGTTATAAGCTACAAGATAATGTTGCTTACTGTAATAAAGGTGTACATAGTCCTCTGGCTTCTCTCTTTGAACAAATATGGAACTTACTGCATGTTTACAAGGTATTCCAGCCAAATCCCACATCCTACAACTGCATTTCTTTTCCTCTAAATCAACAATATGTGTGGTATCACCACAATCTACTTCAAATTTTCTGTCACCACAATAGGTTGCAAAACAATTCCTAGCTTACACTTTCAGTGCTTCTAAATCTTTGACAATGTTGGGACAAATTTCAGCAGTGTATTTTTCCATCCCTTCCTTTTTTATTTGGATCTTGTGCATTACCCTCCTTCTAATCCATTCAAGCATGCTGATTATGGGTTTGTCCCTAGCTTCCAAGATGTTGTTATTGAATGACTCACACATGTTGTTGACCAATGTATTACACCTACTTCTTGGGCTAAAATGGGACCTAGTCCATAAAGAAGGATCTATTTTTCTTAGCCAATTGTATGTTTTCTCTTCTGGATCCATCTCCTTCAACTTGTTCATGTGAAATTCAAATTCCCTCACAGTCCCAGCTACAGTTGCCTTCCACAATAGGTCCCTCAATTCAATCCCTTTGAACTTTGCTCTGAAATTGGAGTAAATATGCCTCATACAGAATCTATGTTCCACATTTGGCATTACCTCCTCAAATGCAGGTACTAACCCCTTCTGTCTGTTAGAAATGAAAACCTATCCCATGTCATTAGCACTATCAATATCATCCATGAGTTGCCTTAAAAACCACACCCAAGAATCTTTACTTTCTGCCTCAACAGCTGCCCATGAAATTGGAAAATAGTTGTTGTTCACATCCCTTCCAAGTGCACATAATAATTGTTCACCATAGATTCCTTTCAAATAACACCCATCCAATCCTATAATGGGCCTGTATCCTCCAACAAATCCTTTTCTAAGGGCTACAAGCCCAACATATAACCTCTGGAAAACTGGGGGCAATTCTAAGTTGGGCTTAAGTATGTCTTCATTGGGCCTATCCACCACTACTTGCATTACATTATTTGGATTATGCAGCTATAGACATCCCATTTTTGACCGACCTTAAGACTCAGATGTCACCAATTGAGCGCTCGGTGATGATGCATATTGTGCTCGTTCTGAGGTTGCGGAGTCTTGGCTGCGAGCCTTGCCTCCGGACTTCGGAGCCCTTTTATGCTTTGCTTCGGTTTGTGAACCAGGTCTTGTTTTCTCTGCTTTCTCTTTCTGAATGGAGGGAGAGGTCTCGTAGACCATCTCTCAATGGCCGTAGGCTACATTTCGTGGTCGTAGGCCATTTTTCCCGTTTGGAGCCCAGTTTCTGATTTTCAGAGCCGTCGGCCGTGTGCCTCGGTTCGGGACTGCTTATCTACCTCCGTTTGCTCCGATTTTTGGCACACACCTTGTTTCCTCCCTTTAGAGGGACACTGTGGCCCGAGAGACCACCTTCTGGTCACACGCCACTTTCGGTGCCTAGCAACCTGTTTTCGGGGCCCCTGACTGCGCGTTTTGGCCTCCGAACCTTCGTTTTGCATCCGTCTTGGTCCATTTTTGGTAGGGACCCTATTTTCATTGTTAGGGAGGTGGTGGCATGGTGGGAGACCACATTTTTCCCTTGGAAACCAGTTTTCTCTTTTTCTCTCTCCTAAAGCCGATTTTTTTGACAGAAAGTTAGTTTTTCTCACTTTTGAGCCACAATTTCTAGTTTTTCACACCATCATTGTGTTGTGCTCATCTGGGAGGCCACTAATATGGGTAAGCCGACCAGTAATTCTTCTTGACCCTTTTGAACCCCTCTAAAAAGTTGGTTTTTCTCTCTCCTAGGTCATATTTTCTAGTTTTTCACCACACAGCTGTATTCTACTCATCTGGGAGGCCACCTTTCTGGAGAGGCCGACCAGCTTTTTTGCTTGACCCTTTTGACCCCTGGTCGGCCGGCCACCTTAGCTGGTCGGCCAGCTTTTTGCTTTTTGCTCTTCTCAAGTGCAACACAGCTGTACCAGCTGTGAAGCATTTGACCCACTGTCCGAGGGTTTTGTCCTTGTTTTAGCCCCTTTTAAGTTGGTTTTCACCCATTTGCTTGGCTTCAAAGAGGAATTGGCCCCTTTGGTAAGCTTGACCCTTTTGGTTAAGCTTCCTTAGAAGCTTTAAGCCTTTCGCTTGGCTTCTCTAAGAAGCCATGGCCTCCTCCCTCTATATAATCAACCCTTCACCTCCATTTTCAAGGGTTAGAATTTTTTGGCTGGAAATATACATACAACCCTCTATCTCTATACTTCTAGCCTCAAAACACTCATATTCTTGGCCATTTTACCCTACACCTCTTAGCCTACCACCTTCCTCATTCATTTCAGCACCTTGAAGGTCATTTACAGAGGTTGAAAGCTCACCAACTTGGTCCAGAAGCTGCTGGAGGTCGGCTCTACAAGGGTAAGTCTTCATTTCTCCTTTTCTAGCCTTATTTTGCGTCATTGATTTGCCTTACTTGCAAGCATTTTTAGGCCTCGACCTAAACTGTAAAGTGTCTTATTTTGAGCTCCTCTTCAATTTTGTTTAAGGGCACTTTGCTGTTTGAGGCTATCTACTTTCCCTTACCCTCTATCTCTCTTTTAGGGCTTTTTTTGCATCCTATTTTAGCCTTACTTGTGAACATTTTCGAGATTTGTCATAAACTGAAAAAGATCTTGTTTTAATATCCTCTTCAAGTTTGGTTTAGGTCTCTTTTCTGTTTGGGGTCATCTTTCCCCTATGCATGCTTCATCTCTTCATGATTAGGTCTATGCATTAGAGCACTTGCATTGGCCATGGTTTGGCCTCTTAGCCACTGAAATCCAGTGAATTTTCAGTGGCTTAGATGCATTTTTTAGAGCCAAAATCAGAGGAGAGTGCCCCCTTCTCTCATTATCTTGTTTGGTGGTCTTGTTGGCCTTCCAAAGGGACCCTTTTTGCATGCTTTGAAGTCATGTTCCAGGCATCATTCTAAGGGTTTTGAGGTCTGCCTTAGTTCTATCTAAGGCCCTTTTGGCCATATTTTATGTCCCTCATGCATGTGTGGAACAACCCTCCTCAAGGCCT